CTCGGACTTTAAGAGGGTTCCCAGCGAACCCCCAGGGGCCTTCGCAAGGCCAAAAGGCCCCAAGAGGGTCCCAAGATGACTTCAAGAGAGCTCCAGAAAGCCAGAATATGGTGATCATGAGGAGGACGAGGATGCGGATGACGATGACTAGAGGGAGGAGGAGGAGGAGGAGGAGGAGGAGGAGGAGGAGGAGGAGGAGGAGGAGGACGACGACGGCGACGACGAAAAAGAGGAATGCTGTCACCTGTGACACATTTCGTTTTCACTTTTGGAAAGAGAGCGACCACATGAACCTCATCTGGTAAGTTATTGTGCTGTTCAGTGTTCCTGAGGGACCGTCTTGGGTGTCATTTGGGCTCTCTTGAACTTTCTGGTCTTGCTGGAGCCTTCTCTGGGCTGTCCAGTGGTGGCTCCCAAGAGCCCCATAAAGACATTCTAACATTAATTGGGGGGATCCGACAAGCCCCCGCGCACACCTATCGCAAACGCTGCTTTGCGATAGGTGTGCCCGGGGGGCATCCCGTGGCATTCCAGAGCTCCACTGGGGCCCTGCTAGAGCCTCCTTGGGGCTCTCCGGCGGCTGTCTTGGGCCCCAGAAAGGGTATTTAAAACCCAACTGGGGAGGTGGACGGGCCCCCGCGCGCACCTATCGCAAGCGATGCTTTGCGATAGGTGTGCCCGGTGAGCATCCCGTGGCCGTCGTGGGGCCGTCCTGGGCCGTTATGAGGTCCTCTTAAGCCCTCTTGAATCCCTGGGGAAGCTCTTTAGGGCCAACTTGAAGCCATCTTGGATTCGTCCTGGGCTCCCCACTGGGGCTTGCGAAAAAAGTTTCCTGTGACTCCTTTGAGCCCTCTGGTAAGCCTCTCAGACCTTAAGAGGGTTCCGAGCGAACTCCCAGAAGGTTTCCGCAAGCCCAAAAGGCTCCAAGAGGGCCCCAAGATGATTTCAAGAGAATTCCAGAAAGCCAGAATTATTCTGGGAAAGCGTTGCCGCGCTTTTCCGAATTAGTTTGGGCCCTCTTGGAGCCCTCTTGGGGCTCTCTTGGAGCCATTTTGGGATCTCTTGCGACTTGCGAAAAAGGTTTCCAGATCTACTGTGGGCTCTCTAGTGGCCCTCTCGGGCTCTATGAGGATTCCAAGAGAGCACCCAAAAGGCCTTCGCAATCCTCGAAAGGCTCTAAGAAGGCCCCAAAAGAGCTTCAAGAGAGCTCCAGAAAACCATAACGATTCTGGGAAAACGGTGCCGCGCTTTCCCAGAAAAGTTTGGATCATCTTGGAGCCCCATTGGGGATCTCTTGAAGCCTTCGCGGAGCAGCAGAATTAATTTGATTAATTTGATTCATCTGCGCAGAGCAATCAGCAAATCATGTACTGAAAGCAGCGGAACCACACAAATAGAGAGGCTCCGTTTTGCAATAGCAGAGTTTTCCCTCAGGCTTTGCCCCATCGAGAAAAGGGAAAAAACGGACGATCAGACCCCAGAATCAATTCGACACAGTTTTTCATCCCAGATCCGTCTTTGACGGCCCGGAGACCAAACACTCGCGATCACTCCGAGGGGCACCCTAAAGCTCTGGGTTGGTTCATAGAGGACTCCCTGGAAGGCCTTTGCGGGCCCCAACAGGGTTCCCCAAGGGTTCTAAGGAGTGTTACTGGGAACTTTCCCGCGAACGCTGAGAGCAGCAGAATTGATTTCATTAGTTGCCGAGAGCAGATCACAGCAGAATGTATCGAATTACTTTAATTACTTTAGTTAATTAATGTAAGTAATATAATTAATTAATTAATTAAATTAATCTGTAAATAGTAATTAAATTAATCAAAGTAATTCTGATGCACTGATCGCGCGTCGGAGGTTAATTGAATTAATAAAAGTACGGACATTAACTAAATTAACTTAATTAAATATTTAATGTCACTAGTTTAATTAATCTCCAAAGATTAATTAGATTAATTAAATTAACAAATTAATCTGCTTAAGCTCAATAATCGTATTAATTGCATTACTTTAATTAATTTATGGGCCTCACCTATAATGTGTAGAGATCCAATACATTAATCAAATTAAACATGATGCATTCAGCGAGCGCTGGAGGCTCTGCAGGAGAGGCTCAGAAATTAATTAAATTAGATACATTAAGTTGAATTAATTCACTTCATTAAATTAAATCTTTCATCTGGTTTTAAAAATAGTCTTCAAAGATTAAGTACATTAATTGAATTCATGAATTAAATTAATTTGTTCCATTAATGTAATTATACAAATAAATTTATTAGTTGCTGGGCCTCACCTAAAAGGCTTCGGAGGCGCTGAGAGCAGCATAATTATTTTAATGTATCATCTAATATGTAGGGATTATTTAAACTACTTGAAATAATCATGCTGCTCTCAAGGTTCGCTGGAGGCTGCGAAGGAGAGGCCAAAAAATTGAGCGAATTAATTAAATTAATGTAATTCGATTAAATTAATGAAGTAGGATAATCAAATACATTCGCTAATTTGATTAATTTTATCAATACATAAAGATGAATGGAATTAATTAAGTTAATAAGAGTCATTAAGTTTATTGATTTAAATCCTACGGATTACTTGACTGAACTGAAAATAAGTAAAATAATTCAACCTATTGTACTGGAATGTTTCCCAAATCATGTATGTAGGTATGTATGTATGTACGGATGGATGTATGCATGCATGCATGCATGTATGGATGTACGTGAGTAAATGTATATATATATATGTGTACATATGTGTGTGTGCATGATTGTATGTATGTATGTACGTATGTGTATGTGTGTATGGATGTATGTATGTATGTATGGGTGTATGTAAGAATGTATATATGTATGTATGCATGCGTGCATGCATGCATGTATGTATGTATGTGTGAATGCATGTATGTATATGTGTACGTGTGTATGCATGTATGTATGTATGTACCTGTGTATGTACGTGTGTATGGATGTATGTCTGTATGTATGTATGTATGGATGGATGTGTGTATGGATGTATGCATGTATGAATGAATGCATGCATGCAGGCATGCATGTATGTGTGTGCATGTATGTATGTACACATGTATGTGTGTATGCATGTATGTTTGCATGTATGTATGTACGTGTGTATGTACGTGTATGGATGTATGTATGTATGTACGGATGCATGTATGTATGTATGCGTGTGAATGCATGTAAGTATGTATGCCTGTGGGTATGCATGTATGTATGTACGTATGTATGTATGTGTCTATGGATGTATGCATGTATGTATGCGTGTATGGATGCATGTACGGATGAAAGCATGTATGTATGCATGCATGCATGTATGTATGTACGTATATGTGTGGATGTATGTATGTATACATGTACGTATGTATATATGTATGTACGAATGTATGTATGTGTGTATGGATGTGTGTATGTATGTATAGTGTATGTATGTATGCATGCATGCATGTATGTATGTATGTGTGTGTGACTGTATGTGTATATGTATGTGTGCATGCATGTATGTATGTATTTATGTAGGCACGTATGTATGTATGTGTGTATGGATGTATGTATGTATGTCTGGATGGATGTATGCATACATGCATGCATACATGCATCTATGTATGTGTATGTGTGCGAATGCATGTATGTATATATGCATGTGATGTATGTACGTATGGATGTATGGATGGATGTATGTTTGTATGGATTGATGTATGTGTGTATGTATGTGTACATGCATGCATGTATGTATGTATGTGTGAACGTATGTATGTATATATGTATGTGTATGCATGTATGTATGTATGTGTACGTATGTGTGTATGTGTGTATGGGTGTATGTATGTATGCATGCATGGATGTATGTATGTGCGTGCTGGTGTATGTATGCATGCATGCATGCATGTATGTATGTATGTATGTGTGAATGTATGTATGTATATATGTGTGTGCGTATGCACGTATGTATGTATGTATGTATGTATGGATGGATGGATGTATGTATGTATGTATGTATGGATTGATGTATGTGTGTATGTATGTGTGCATACATGCATGTATGTATGTATGTAGGTGTGTGTGTGAATGTATGTTTGTGTGTTTGTTTGTATGTATGTACGTATGTATGTATGTACATGTGTATGTCGCTACGCCTGTACAAAAGTACACAGACACACAATGTCACACACATAACATAACGATACAAACGTATGTCTACGCATCTATAAACACATAGATTTATATATATACATGTGTGTATGTATACACAAACATGTATACGGAGAAATGTAAAAAAGATTCGTGCGCGCAACAAGACAAGCCTGCAAAGGCCCGCCTGAACTGAAGCTGCCGCCGCAGGGAGGGGAGGGGAGGAGGAGGAGGAGGAGGAGGAGGAGGAGGAGGAGAGGGAGGAGGAGGAGGATGAGGAGGAGGGGGGGGGAGGGGGGGGGAGGAGGAGGAGGAGCGGGAATGGGAGAGAGGAGGGGGGAGAGGACGAGGAGGAAGAGGGGAGAGAGACCACCTCCTGGTGCTGCCCGTGCTGCTGCCGCTGCTCCTCCTCCTCCTCCTCCTCCTCCTCCTCCTCCTCCTCCTCATCATCATCATCATTAATATTATTATTAGTATTAATATTATTATTATCCTTATTATTATTAGTATTATTAGTATTATTAGTCGTATCAGCATTGGTATTATTATTATCATTATTATTACTATTACTATTAGTAGTATTAGTATTATTATTATTACTATTATCCTCCTCCTCTTCCTTCTTCCTCCTCCTCCTTCCTCCTCCTCCTCCTCCTCCTCTTCCCCCTCCCCATCCCCTTCATCATCATTCCCTTACCCTCCTCCCACTCCTCCCATGCTTCTTCCACTGACTCGTTCCTCACCCTATCCTCATCCTCCTCAGCCTCTCTCCTCCCCTACCTCCCCCTCCCCCCCTCCTCCTCGTGCTCAGCCGTTCCTCCTCTCCCTGCTTCTCCCCCCGCCCACTCATCGTGCGGTGGCTGTCCTGCGGCACTGGCACCACCGGTATCTCCATCGGCATCTGTGCGGCATCGGGGCAGCAGGAGCGCGAGTCACCACCCCGCCTTTCGCTCCTTCGAAATCTTCCCCATCCATCCATCCATCCATCCGTCCACACATCCATCCACCCATCCGTCCATCCATCCGTCCATACATCCATCCACCCATCCATCTATCCTTCCGTCCGTCCACCCATCATCCGTCCGTCCGTCCGTCCGTCCCCCCCTCCCTCCCTCCCTCCCTCCTCCTCCTCATCCTCCTCCTCCTCCTCCTCCTCCTCCTCATCCTCCTCCTCCTCCTCCACCTCCTCTCCTCCTCCTCCATTCCTTTGCCTTATTCATAACTACTTGTTGTCGCACCGCGAGGCCAGTTTTTAGAGCGAGCCAGGGGTTTCGCTTGAGACTTCCTCACTCTGGAGTTTAAACATTGGCAACAGTTTCATGAATATAGAGGGCGGGCCGTTTTCAAAATGTGGTTCTCGCCTTGGCGCGGCGCACATTCGTTGTCAAAAACTGCAAGGGCTTCACGGACTGAGGGCGGGTCGTTGCCAAAATGTGGCTCTCGCCTTAGCGCGGCGCACATTCGTTCTTAAATTTACAATAGTGTCACTGATTGAGGGCGGGTCGTTCTCAAAATGTGGCTCTCGCCTTAGCGCGGCGCACTTTCGTTTTTTTATTTGAAGAATTGCAAGAGCCTCATGGATTGAGAGCGGGTGTTTTTTTCCAAACGTGGCTCTCGCATTAGCGCGACGCACATTCGTTTTAAAAAATGCACGAGATTCACAGATAGAGGGCGGGTCGTATTCAAAATGTGGCTCTCGCCTTAGCGAGGCGCGCAATCGTTTAAAAAGATTGCAAGAGTTTCACGGATTGAGGGCGGTTCCTATTTAAAATGTGGCGCTCGCCGTTAGCGCCGCACACACTCGTCTTTAACATTTGCCAGAGTTTCACGGATATCCCATGATCAACGTACCAGAAATAGAGGTTTGAAAGGATTCAAGATGAATTCCCAGGAATGGCGTTCTGGCTCAATTCAGGACCGTCAACAGTCAGGTTGACCCGTGGCGCTGGAATCCCGAGAACAATGTTTTGGCATGCTTCAGGGTCTTCAAACGGCTGTCTTCCAACGAGGCAGTTCCCTCAATGGAAATGAACCGTTGTAGGGGTCTATGAAAAGGGAGCTTGGCGGGATGGTTTATTACAACATCGTTGATGCCTCTTGGGTTGATCCTCCTCCTCATCATCATCCTCATCCTCCTCTTCCTCCTCCTCCGCCGCCTCCTCCTCCGCCTCCTCCTCCTCCTCCTCCTCCGCCTCCTCCTCCTCCTCCTCCTCTCCTCCTTCCCCTCTTTCCCTCAGATCTTCATTTATCGAAGACGCCTACGGCGAATCACCGTCGCCCCCTGCCTTTTCGGAAGCGCCTATGTGGCCGAAAGTTGGGCTAGAGCTATCGGAACATGGGTTCCCCCAGCTGTCGGTGAAACCTTTCGCGGAAGAAGAGGATGATGAGAAGGAGGACAAGGGAGTAGGAGGAGAAGGAGGAGGAGGAGGAAGAGGATGAGGAGGAGGAAGAGAAGGAGAAGGAGGAGGAGGAGGAGGAGGAGGAGGAGGAGGACGCCTCACGGAAGCCTCTTGGGGCACTCTTGGGATATCCTGGGAGCTTGCTGGGGGCCTCTTGGAGGCCTCTTGGGGGCCTCCTTGGGCCTCTTGGAAGCCGCACGGAGATTGTTTGGGACCGCTTTGGCAGTCTTAGGGTGTTCCTGGCCCGTCTGACGCTGTCGGAAGCCGCCTTGGATGCCTCTCTGAACCGACTTGGGGCCATCTTGTGGTGCTTCGGGGCCGTCTTGGAGGCCGTCTTGGGCGTCTTGGAGGCCTCGTCTTGGGGCCGTCTTGTGGGCCGATGGCCGTCATGTAGCCATCGTGGGGGCCTCTTGGGCGATCTTGGGTGCCTCCCGGGCCGTCTGGGGCCGTCGGGAGGCCGAAAAGAAGCAAACGCCAAAACCTGTCAACACCCTGAGGAAATCAATGATTTGGGCCGGTTCGGGCCCTTCTGGAGAACCTCTTGGAGGCCTCTTGGGCGGTCTTGGAGGCCTCTTGGATGGCCTCTTGGGCCGTATTGGGCCGTCTTGGAGGCTTCTTGGGCGGACGTGGAGGCATCTTGGACCATCTTGGGCCGTCTCGGAGGCCATATTGGACCATCTCGGGCCATCTCGGATCATCTTGGGGCAAACTTGGAGGCCCTCTTGGGGCCGTCCTTGAAAGCTTCTTGGGCTGCCGTCTTTGGAGGCGACATCTTGGGACGATCTTGGCGGCCTCTTGGGCCGTCTAGGGCCGTCGGAAGGCCGAAAAGAAGCAAATGCCAAAATCTCTCAACAACCTAAGGAAAATCAGTGAGTTGGGCTTCTTCGGGCCCTCCTGGGAACAAGAGGCCTCTTGGGCCGTCTTGAAATATTCTGGGGCCGTCATGAGATCATCTTGGAGGCCTTTGGGGCCATCTTTGGGCGATCTTGGAGGCATCTTGGGCTGTCTTGGGCTGCCAGAAGGCCGAAATTAAGCAAATGCCCAAACCCCTCACAAACCATAGAAAACTAATGAGTTTGGCCTCTTCAGGCCCTCCTAGAGGACTGGGCCGTCTTGGAGGCCTCTTGGGGGCTTCTTGGAGCCATCTTGGGCCGTCTGGGTGGTTTTTCGGGTGATCTTGGACGAATATGAGACCCTCTTGTGCTGTATTGGAGGCCATCTTGGGCCATCTTGGGCGAACTTGGAGGCCATCTTGGGCCATCTTGGCCATCTTGGAGGCCATCGAGGCTGTCTTGCAGACGTTGGTTACGCAGCGGCGGGACCTTCGTGGTGCCCAGCGGCATGGACCGAAGACCGAAGAAAACCAAAACCAAGCCGTAGAATCTAGCGCGCCAAGCACCCCTGTGTTAAATCAACAGGGGGCTTCGGATCGAAGACGCCTACGGCGAATCACCGCCGCCCTATACCTTTTGAAATCGCCCATGTGGCCGAGCGTTGTGGCAAGAGCTCTGCCAAGTTATCGGGCCATGTGTTCCCCCAACCGTTGCAGAAACCCTTCGGGGAACACTTGGGGGAGGATGGCGGGGAAGATCAGGAGGAGGAGGAGGCATCTTAGGAGCCTTCGGGAGCACTCTTGGAGCCCCCTGGGAGCTTCCTGGGCGCCTCTTTTTGGAGGCATCTAGGGGGCGTCCTTGGGCCTCTTGGGGGGCCCTGGGGGCTTCACGGAGGCCTCTTTGGCAATCTTAAAGTATTCCTGGCCCGTCTGACGCCGTCGGACGCCATCTTGGGGGCCTCTCTGGGCCGACTTGGGGCCCTCTTGGGGTGCTCAAAGGCCGTCTTGGTCTTCGAGGCCTCTTGGGCAATCTTGGGGCCCTCTTGGGGCCGCCTCGGGGGCCTCTTGGGCCGTTCTGGGGCCATATTGGAGGCCTCTTGGGCGATTCTGGGGCGATCCTTGGGGCGATCTTGGGGCGATCCGTGGGGGCTATTGAGCCGTCTCGGGCCGTCGAAGACCGAAACCTCTGGGAAATCAATGATGTGGGCCCCTTCGGGCCTTCCTGGAAGCCCTCTTGGGGTTTCTTGGGCAGTCTTGGAGACCTCGTGGGAGTCTCTTGGGCCGTCTTGGGCCATCTTGGAGCCATCTTGGGCCGTCTTGATGGCCTCCTGGCCCGTCTGACGCTGTCGGAAGCCGTCTTGAGGGCCTCTCTGGGCCCCTGGGCCGACTTGAGGCTTTCTTGAGGTGCTCCAGGGCCGTCTTGTACGCCATCTTGGGCGTCTTGGAGGCCTCTTGGGCCGTCTTGGGGCCCTCTTGGCGCCGCCTTGGGGGCATCTTGGGCCGTTCTGGGGACATTTTGGAAGCCTCTTGGGCGATCTTGGGGCGATCTTTGGGGGCTCTTGGGCCGTCTCGGGCCGTCGGAATCCGAACAGAAGCAAATGCCAAGAACCTTCACAAACCTAAGGAAAATCAATGATGTTGGCCTCTTCGGGCCTTCTGGAGGGCCTCTTGGAGGCCTCTTGGGCCATCATGGAAACCTCTTGGGAGCCTCCTGGGCCGACTTGGGCCATCTTGGGGCCATATTGGGCCACCTTGACGGCCTTTTGGCCCGTCTGACGCCGTTGGAAGTCGTTTTGGGCCTCTCTGGGCCGACTTAAGGCCCTCTTGGGATGCTCCAGGGCCGTCTTGGTCTTCGAGGCCTCTTGGGCCGTCTTGAAGCCATCTCAAGGGCCTCTTGGGCCGTTCTGGGGCCATCTTGGAGGCCTCTTGGGCGATCCTGGGGCGATCCTTGGGGGTTCTTGGGCCGTCTCGGGCCGTCGAAGACCGAAAAGAAGCAAATGCCAACATTCTTCAGTTACTCCGACGGTAGGACCCCACATGAGAATCTGTTTAGCTGATCATTTGCCCTTTCCTCCTCCCCCTGGCGGACACCCTCTCCTCTCGCCCTCTGCACTGCCCTCTGTTCCTCATTCTATTTATCTTCCTACTTCTCCTCCTCCTCCTCCTCCTCCTCCTCCTCCTCCTCCTCCTCCTCCTCCTCCTCCTCCTCCTCCTCCTCCTCCTCCTCCTCTCCTCCTCCTCCTCCTCCCTCCTCCTCCTCCTCCTCCTCCTCCTCTCCTCCTCCCCCTCCTCCTCTTCATCCTCATCCTCCTCCTCTCGCGCCACCTCCTCCTCGTCGTCGCCCTCCCCCATGCCCCTTCCCTCCTCATCCTCCTGCTTCTTTTCCATGTGCACCTCCCGTTCCCCCTGGTCATGGCAAGCAACTCGATTTTCCTCGGCGCCGTCGCCGCGTCGGCCAGCACGCGCGCGTTTGCCGACGGCTAGAGCGCGCAGCCGTCGGGACAACCCTTCGGGCCAGGCCGTCGGGGCAACCTCGCAGGCCGCAGGGGCGCGGGAGCCAGCCGCTGGGACAACCCCGCGGGCCTCTAGGCGCGCGCCGCGGCGCTCAGGCGGGCGGCAGCACGAAGCCCAGCTCTGCCGCGAGCGGCTCCGCCTCAGCCCTGGAATCCA